GTTAAATGACTTGCTGTGAGTCAGCCTTTTTTTTTGGAGAAGACGCAATATGTCAGTTTCCAATAGATGCTGTAACAAATCACCACAGGCTTATTAGTCACTTAAAACAGCACACATTTATTCCTTACAGTGCTGGAGGTCAGAAGTTTGAAATGAGTCTTTCGAGGCTAAAATCAAGGTATCAGCAGGCCTGCGCTCCTTCAGGAGGCTCCAGGAGAGAATCTGTTTCCTTGCCTTGTCCGACTTCTAGAGGCTGCCTGCATTCCTTGGCTCGTGGTCCCTTCCTCCATCTTCAGAGTGCATCAGTCCAGTCTCTACTTGTGCTGTCGCATCTCCTTTTCTGACTCTGAGGGTCATATCTCCCTCTTATGAGGGTCCTTGCAATGATATTGGGCCCACCTGGATGACCCAGCGTAGCTTTTCCCATCTCAAGATGGGAAGATCCTTAAATTGTTTACGTCTCTGAAATCCCTTTTGCCATGTAAGGCAACATTTTCATAGTTTGGGGGGTTTGGATGTGTGTGTCTTTGGGAGGGCCATTATTCTGCATGCCACGCACAGAATCCTTGAAAAGGAGCCAATTGGCTCAACTGGAAGACAGAACAGGCTTCCAGGGATGATTCCTCTTGGCTAAGATGATACAATGCCCTGGACTTTGCCTATAAAGCTAATATAATGGCCTTGGGAGGGCAGAGATGAACTTGCTCACTGAAGCTAAAAGAAATGCCAATGAAAGCATTTTAGGGAATTAATTCCTGGGTAAAAAGGAAGCCCAGAATATTCCATGGCTGGGCCACAGGTGAACACACCTGCTGCTTAGGGGGAAATAGGCTTCACTCTCTGTTGGAGTAGAGCAGACCTTACTTGGCCTTCTACATTTAATTATAAATTCTTATAAAAGCTGCGAATTACTTTTACCCTCTCATTGCCCTCCCAGGAGTTTAATGTTTATACATTCTTAGAAAACCTAGAATGATGTAGTGCTTGCCCTAAGGTCAACAGAGGGAGGGGATAAGACATGAGCCACACACCACAGGATTCTTTGTTCTTTTGGGAATAGAGAACACACAGAGCTGGATAAGATGCAGGCTGGAGACATAGGATTTGGACCCAAGGCAGGCAACCTGGACCCATTGTTCCAGGTACTTCTCTACAGATGGAAAGTGCCCCAGCTCTGATATTAGCCAATTATGGGGTAAAGCCAGCTCCCTTGGCTTATAGCTCCACGCTGGACCTACTGGATGGAAATATTTGACTGTTGAAGAGAAGCTAGCTCTAGCATTAAGGTGGATTCATTCAACAAACATTTATGGAGTGCCTGTTGTGTGCCGGACCCTTCCCTACAGCCGTGAACAGTTAGATTTGGTTCCTACTAGCTTATGGTCCGGAAAGGGACACAGACAATAAGCAAGTAAGTGGAAATATGGAAAAGGAGTATAAAATGAGTGGGGCTATGCAAGGGAACAACTGGGTTGCTGTGGTAGAGAGTACCATGGAGGGGTGGGTGGAGGTAGGTACTTTGGGTGAGAAAGTCAGTGAGGACCTCTCTGAGCAGGTATCATTTACAGTAAGGGGTAAAGGTTGAAACAGAGGCAGTGGGAAAAGCAAATGTGAAGGCCCTGAGGTGGGCAAGAGCTTGGTGGTATTGTTTGTTTCTTTTTAAGATTTTGTTTATTTATTCATGAGAGACACAGAGAGGCAGAGGGGGAAGCAGGCTCCTGCAGGGAGCCCGATGTGGGACTTGATCCCAGGACCCCAGGATCACACCCTGAGCTGAAGGCAGACGCTCAACCACTGAGCCACCCAGGTGCCCCACAACAGGAACATTTTAAGTAAGAAACTGATATGCTATGCATTTAAAAAATAAGATCCTTGAGAAATGTGGGTGTTCCATGCTCTTTTCCTTTTGAAGCTGCTCGTTAGTTATTGGATGCTCATTACATACTGGGCAAGGTGCTAAGCTCCTCATATGCATGATCTGATTTAGTACTTTAAGGGGGCCTCTGAGTTGGAGAACGTGTACTCATTTTACTGGATGGTAAACTGAGGCCAAGTGAGTAAAGTAACTCGGCCAAGGTCTTACCCTCCGTATGTAGCGGAAGTGACATTCCAAACCCAGGTCTGTCTGACTCCAATGCTGAGCCTCTAAGCATTTTGTTTTCTTCATGTTAAAAAAAGGGTGGCAAAACCTATGTAACATGAAATTTGCCATATTAACCGTTTAAAATATACAGCTCAGTGGCATTAATTACATTCCCAGTGTTGGGAAGCGTTACCTCTATTTCCAAAACTTTTTCAAGACAATCTTTGTCCTTTGGTCACTGGCTTCTTTCACTTAGCATAGCACTTGGCATGTTTTCATGGCTCGTCCATACCACAGTGTGCAGCGGCATCTCCTTCCTTGTCATGGCTGAGTAATACTCCACGCTCGGAGTGACATTGTATTGTGGGCTACATTTTGTTTACTTACTCATCTCTTCATGGACACTTGGGTTCTTTTCCACCTTTTGGCTGTTAGGGATAATGCTGCAGTGAACATTGGCCTACAAGGATCTGTTTGAGTCCCAGTTTTTTATTTTGGGGGTATAAATGTAGGAGTGGAATTCCTGGGAGGTATGATATTTCTATGTTTGCTTTTTGTTTAGGGAGTAAAGATTTATTTATTTATTTATTTATTTATTTATTTATTTATTTAAATGAGAGAGAGAGTGCGTGTGCATGTGCACACATGTGCCTACTTGCAAGGGGTAGAAGGGACAAGGGAGAGGGAGAGAGAGAATCCTCAAGGATACTCCCTGCTGTGTGGAGCCCAAAGCGGGACTTGATCTCACAACCCTGAGATGATGACTTGGGTTGAAACCAAGAGCTGGGTATTAACAGACGGAGCCACCCAGGCGTCCCTATGTTTACCTTTGAGGGAACCGCTGCACTGGTTTCCATGGCACCCGCACCACTTTCCATTCCCACCAGCAATACGTGAGGGTTCCAGTTGCTCTACGTCTTTGTCAACTCTTGTTATTTTCCTCTTTTTATAGCCATCCTCGTATTGTGATGTGTATCTCTTCATGGTTTTCGTTTGCATTTCCCCAATGATGTATGAGGTCAACCATCTTCTTAATGAGCTTATTGGCCATTTGTTAATCTTCTTTGGAGAAATGTCTATTCGTGCTACTTGCCTGCTTAAAAACTGGGGTGGTTTGTCCTTTCGTGGTTGAGTTGTAGGAGTTCTTTATGTATTTTTGAAATTAAACCCTTATCAAATATTTAATTTGCAAAACTTTTCTTCCATTTTGTAGGCTGTCTCACTTCCTTGACAATGTCCTTTGCTGCACAACATTTTTTAATTGTCCAATTTATCTGATTTTCATGTGTGAGTGTCATTTGTAAGGACTGACTGCCAAATAGGATGAAAATTTACCCTTGTGTTTTCCCTGGCTCTCTCTCACTTTTGATCAGGAAGTTCTCTTATACATTTTAGAAGTGATTCACGTCATCCAGCTGCCACCAGAAACCTGGGAAGCTCAGCTAAGTCGGTCCTGGTATCTGTCCTAGAGGGGCCCGTGAGTCGTGGGGGAAACAAAACTTTAGTAGTGACACTATCATAGTAATCTCTCCCCATCATCCCCAAATGCCAGTGTGAGGATCTTTGCTGGTCTGCCAAAGTTTGTGGGAAAAGAATTAAGAGCATTTTTCATAGAGGTAAATTTATTCCACTTAAGGAACTTATTGTGGAAGTGGTTCCTTTCTAGGATGCTAGAATGTTCTTGTGACTGGAGACTGATGGGAGATGATGGTAGTTTCTCTAGATGGTTCTACCTGGCAGATTAAGGATGATTAACTCAGTGTCAGGCTTCCAAATTTAGGGGAGGAAAATAGCTAAACTGTGAAATTGGAGAGGTTAGAAGCCACCACAGATGCTAGCGTGGGCTTATGTGGGCCTGCAAAGCATGTTGGGGGATCCCTGCCCAGGGTTTCAAGGGAAGGCTTCACAGAGGAGCCAGATTAATTTTCTCCCTCAAATACCTGACCTATTTCTTCTTCAATCATCGTCTTTGTGCAAAACTTTTAGACATGGAGAGTGGGGAAGAAAGAGAAAAATCAAAGCTCAGTCTGTTTCTTGGGTTGGGTTCCTCTGGGCAGCCTCCGACTGATTCCTCTTATAGATTTTTACCATATGGTTTTTCTTTTTCATTTACTTAAGGTATGTTTTTAAAAAGAAAGAAAGACAGAAGTCCTACCCAGAAAGGAATACTTTTTTTTTTCCTCATGGGAAAGAATGTTCAGTTGTATTTGGGGACTGAATGAAGTTCTGCCAATGAGTTCACCCTGGTAAAGCACTGAAATTCTCCCAAACATACTAATTAAGATACTTTTTGTCTTTTCGGTTGGTTTTAGCTTTGAAGATACGACAAAAATGGCATGGTGCAAAATCGAGGAGCCAAGTTTGGAGGAAATGACATGGTCTCTGTATGGCAATTAGCCTTGAACTTGAATGGCCTAGTCTAGAGGGTGGTCTCCAAACTGTTTCTGATGGCCCAAGTGCCTGGGCTGTGCTGTACGGTTATTCAGCTGAACGATTCCTCCTGGAGTTGTGCAGTGCACAACCTATGGAGCTGTAAGCAGCCGCCTGATAGACCCCAGCAAAAATAGAAATGAGCATAGACACTCAAGAAATGTATGCTTGTTTATACATTATTTATGTGTAGATTCACTTAGGTTATATATGGATAAAACACGGGTTCTTTTTTTTTTTTAATTTAAAAAACAAAACTGAGTAATAGCTTTACCAGAGTTTCATCTGTGCTTTAGTGGATGGTTTCGAACACCCTTCATGTTGGACCACCCTGCTTTGTTGACACCAGCCTAGGAAGAGTTACACGGCCTCCTCTATCGTTCAGGCGGGGTGACACATTCGTAGGGCAACGTTGCTATGTAGCAGTGGAGTCCTTACGGGTCTTCCTTCCAGAAGCCCTGTCCTCAGCTGCTGGTTCCCATTCCAGAGTACACGGTCATTAATGAAGCCTGTCCTGGGGCCGAGTGGAATATCATGTGCCGGGAGTGCTGTGAATACGATCAGATTGAATGTGTCTGCCCTGGAAAGAAGGAAGTGGTGGGTTACACCATCCCGTGCTGCAGGAATGAGGAGAATGAGTGTGACTCCTGCCTCATTCACCCAGGTGAGTGTGCAGGGGGTGGGCTTGGGCTGCCTTCGTGTTTTCCGAGGTCGGGAAGGGGCAGGCACATATCAGAGGCTGTGATGATGCCATGATATTAAAAGGGGCATAATTCTCCTTGTCCTAATAACTTCAGGCAAAGGAAGGGGAAGACCTAGGGCCCTTTTCGCCACTAACCTAATAAAGCTGCGAATTCATCCCCTCATTCACCTATTTAACAAAAGACTCAACAGCTCTTATAGGCCATGTCAGATACTGGCAATACAGTGATTTAAAAAAAAAAAAAAAAGGACACATTCCTGCATTCCCAGAGCTTGCAGCCTGGCAGGGGAGATGGAAAAGGAAACTGGTAGCTGCAGTATGGTGTGCTGAGTGCTGCAATAGAGAAGCACAAGGTACCGTGGCAGCATGGACAGTGATGGGGGCAGTGGAGACTCAATTGGAGGAGGTGGTGTGTGTGCCAGCGATGGAGGCAGCAAACTGAACAGGGTGGATGAGATTTGGCAGAGAGGTCAAGCCACAGAGGAGAACATGTGCCAAGGCCCTGTGGGGAGACAAAGCATGGGGTTTTGGGAATTGCAAGTTCTTTGGTCTGGCTTAAGAAGGTGTGTGTGTGTGATGAGAAACATGGAGAGTGGTAAACAAAGAGACAGAGAAAAGATTATTAGAATTGAGAGGGAGAAGACAGGGGTCAGACCCTGCAAGGCTTTGCAAGCCGTGCGATGACTTCAGGCTAAATCCTGAAGATACTTTCGCAACATCAGAGATCTTTGAGTAAAGACATGAAAGCTATTTTCTCTTTGGCGGCAGTATGGAGAAAGTATTGGAGAGGGACCTTAATGAATGTAGAGGCCCTGTGGGTGGGGAGAGGTGGAGGGATTCCAATGATATGCAAGAGAGTAAAACTGACCACAATTTGGGATTGGCCGCACCTGGGGAAGGGAAGGGAAGGGAAGGGCAGAGCTGAAGTCGAGGAAGATGCTCTGGCTGAGTTGGACCTTTACGGGTGATCCCAGTAGTAGGAGAGCATCTGAGTCTGGCCACAGCCTGCATTCGCTTGCCTTCCATCCCCACCATCCAGGGACGGTGATTGTCCTCTTCACTGAAGTGCCCATCTGCCCGGAGGCCCGTGTGGACACTGAGCCCCCAGACTGAAGATGATCCCAGTGTGATTAGCAAGTCCTTGAACAATTTTTCTCGGTGCTCTCCTATCTGCTACCTTGCATGTCTGACTTTTCCCAGGGGAGTCTTAACCTTTTCCTTTTCAGGCCAGATCAAAAGGAGGACATAGGGAGTTCCCGCACGCTTTCCTTAGGCGGGGGACCAAAAGGATGTTGAAAGCATATTTGGGGAATTTCATTTCTGCTGTTCCCCTCCTTTTATAAACACACAGGATGATGCACAGAGCTGCCAGGAACTTCCTTTTCTAGGAAGCTATAGAAGTGGAAAGAAAAAGGGGCTGGAGTAAACAAATGATACTTTTAGACCATCTTCCTTCTTAGAAGACAGCAATGCTGAATTTTAAAATTGGAATGACCTCAGTGTAGCCTTTGTACATTTGATTTAGAAAAGAAACCCACTGCCCCAATTCCCTGATGGTGAGAGTGCTTCGCAGGTGAAATAGTTGAGTAATGCCTCCAAATTTTCTAAGGACATTTTGAGAGCTAAACCAGGATCTCCTAAATAGGGGTCCTTGGCAGTTGTATTGAAGTCTTTGAACGATTTTCAGTATTTTTGAAAGCCTAGTGGTCACTGTTGGGGTGATGGGGTGGGGCTTTGGTTTTATGATACAATAAGAGAATTTCATAGGTGGTGATTTGTGCTTCTTATTGCATTGTACAGATAGTAGTTAACACCTGCCTCAATGCACCTGACATCTTGTTACATCACCCAGGAGGTGCCCGATATCACCCTCTTGAGTGATGCTGGGAATGATCTTTGGATCTAAGGAGTGAAGAGCTGGTTACCCAGAAAGGGAAGGCAACATAAAAGCTTTTTTTTTCTTTTTCTAATTTTCAAAATAGTGAGTTAATACCTTGGCAGTCCCTGTTGATGATCAAAGAGGGGTGTGTGTGTGTGTATGTGTGAGTGTGATTATGAACTTAGGTACTTTAATTTATGTGTTTTAATCCATTGCAATCACGATTCATTTTAATACATGTGTCCCCCTCTCTTAGGGCACTGGGGACCCCCCTGTGTCCTGTGTTCTTCTGATAAGACCACTCTAGTGTTTGGAAACTTCCTTCACTTCTTACATGACAAGATGTTTCAGGCTCTTCTTGTGTATTTTCTGCCCTAGATCTGTGATCAGAGACATTTCTCCAAGGAAGTCTGGTCTGAGGCCACACTCTGAGCTCCTCACGTGTTCCTTGTTACTGAACTGTCATCGTCTTACTAAGTGGATGAGGCTAGGAAATTGGAATTTTTTAAAAAAAAGAAAAAAAAGAGTTTATGCTGATACTCAAGTTCAAATGTAATATTCCATGGTTGTTTAATTAACCTTGTTGATTTTATATTTGTATGTCTTTTCTGTCATGGTGGAAAGCTTATTTCCTAATAATATTAACCTGATTACTTATTGCTTTAGCTTACAGAATAATAAAACTGTGCAAAATAGCAATAGCACTGTTTTTGTTTGCAATAGCACTATTAATAATCACAAGACCACTGATGACTATGGTTTTTATTGACCTTAGAATATATCCTACTAAATATGTATAGTCAAAATTTTATGTTTTAAAGCCAATTGATATTGTTCTTTTATCTGTGGTGTTATACCACCTACTTGATATATAGACAGGTTTATTATTTCTATTTTCTATATTTGACAATATAAGCAAATGTATGTTTGTATACACATTTGTATATCTTCCCCCCTTCTTGCACAAAAGATAGCCTGCAATAAACACTGCTAACTATCTTGCTTTTTTCTCTTACCAATATCTGCTGGAGATCACTCACTGACAGTGTAAAGCCATCTTTTTTCATTTATTTTTACAGTTGCATATAACTGCATTGTGTGGATTGCTATAGTTTATGAGTATTTGGGTTGTTTCCAGCCTTTTGCTCTTATAAATAATACTAGAGTGAATAGCCTTAGGCATACATCATTTAGTATTTTTGCAGTGTTCTTTGGGTTAGGTCCCTGGAAGAGAGATTGCTGAGTCAAAGAGAGGTGCGTAAGTCATGTTGCCAACCTTTGCATTGTCCCTCTTGCACTTGGCATTCACAGCAGCCAGGTATGAGGGCGCTGTTTTCCCAAAGCCTTGCAACACAAATCATTGTAGATTTTTGCCAATCTCAAAGGTGAGAAATGGAATCTCGGCCTGCTTTTAAAATTTCTATTATTTCTCTCATCATGGTAGATGACCAGTGGTTGCAGGCAGATCAACATCCAGGAGCATGGTGGTGGGGATGCCAGTAGTGACGTCCAGTAGTGTCCAGCAGTACTGAGGCCCTCTCTGGACCAAGTCTGCTGTGTACTTTCATGTAGTTCTAGGCTATGTAGCTCTGAACTCAGTCCTCTGGGTTTTATGGCTGTGCTATGAGCTCCTTAGTGTCTTCTCATGATAGCCTTATTCATCTTCATTACCTGGCTGGTTTTTGCGGATTGTACCTAAAGGCGTTGAAGTTACCATGCTGCGAGGGAGAGTTGGCAGGGTCCCTGGGAGCAGACTCTGAGTCCGTTTGCCCCCTAGTGGCACAGCCGATAGGGAACCAAAGAGGGGAAAGTGGCAGATGGGTGAAGATGGCCTTTGGAAAGCACAGTGACGCCACTGGGACCCATCCATGATCTACTGGAATTTGATGAATCATATTAGCAGCTCTTCTCTGGTGGGAGGAAGCACTGGAACAGGGGAGCCACTTTAGGGTGGTGTGCAAAGAGAGGACGCCAAGCCTCTGTCCTACAGAAACCACACGTCCATACACTGTGTGTATACGTTACAGACCGAGGAAAACCGAATTTCAACCAAAATCAAGGATGTGTGCTATCAGCTCCAGGAAGCGCTGGTTATCTCGAATGGTTGAGAAGCCTGGATGAGCAGTTCATCTATCCATCCCTATGTCCATTTGTTTATTCACTCAAATAGTATTTCTTGAACACTTGCTATGTTACAGATATTACAGTAAGTGCTGGGGATATATTGTTGAACAAGATGCAGTTCCTGACTTCAGTCTATTAGAGGAAAACAGATAATAAGCAGTTAAAATTGAGCAGGATATAGGCAATGGTAGGGATAAGCCAATTGGAGGTGTGGGAATGCAGAATAAGACTCACAGTTCATATTTGGGGTATCCATACTATGTGTCAGGCCCTTTATATGTGTTAATTTAATTTTTAAAACAACCCTAAGAGGCAGGTACATTTTTAACCCTTGTTTTACAGATGATGACATTGGGGCACAGAGGAAGGAAACACAGCTGGACGATGGCACAGCCAGATCTTAGCTCTCCGCTGTGATAAATGGGATTGGGTTATCTCTGTCTCCCATCACTATCCCCCGCCCCTCAAGAGATCATGTTATAAAAATGACCCTTACCTGGGGAGCTGCTCAACCCTCTCTGGTGTGGCCTGCTGGTGGGAGCAGCCTGGCACCTTCCAGGGTGGGCCCATTATTAGGCATTAATATTGTTTCCATGGGCATACTTTGGCTATAGAAATATATGACATGGAAAATACGTCATATTCGAGACAGGTAGATACTTACTATCTACTGTGAACTGAAATAAATTACAAAAACAGAAGGTACAGAATATAACATAAGCCTAATTTATTTTTTTTAATGTGTTTTTCTCTATACACAGAGACAGCATGTTACCGGGAGTTGTTCCCTGGTGATGGACCTTTCGGTGTTTTTAATTTAATTCTCTTTGCTTGTCTGAGTTTTCTAAATATTCCACGATAAGCACATGGAGCATCAACCACTGCCTGGGAATATGGTTCAGACCACCTTCCTAGACTCCTTGCTGCAAATTTGGCTGACTCTGGCATTTTCCCAGGAATGAGCATTTTTTCCCCAAGGGCTCTGGCTCCTTTCTCAGTGCGAGGCCCTCGGTGGAGGCAAGGCCCTGAGCAGGTCCTGTTCCTCTCACATGCCGCCCATCAGAACCTGCAGGTGCATAATTGAACGCCTTTCTGCTGGGACATGTTTCAGGTTGTACCATCTTTGAAAACTGCAAGACCTGCCGGAACGGCTCATGGGGAGGCACCCTGGATGACTTCTACGTGAAGGGGGTCTACTGCGCAGAGTGCCGGGCGGGCTGGTACGGAGGAGACTGCATGCGTGAGTAACCCTGAGGCGGCTGCCCCTCGGTGCATGCTGCTTTGAACACTCAGCTTGCAGCAGACTAAGGTTTATCTGGTTGGGATCTGAGTGCTGGAAAGCTTTGGCCAGAGGGCTTTCTAGGTAAGACCATAAGAAAACAAGACTGTTTCCATCTGCTGGGTGTGGATCGTGGACATCTGTTTGGAATTGGCGTCGGGAGGTTTATATCTGCTCTTAAATCTTCTCTTTTCTCCTAAATGAAGCCAAGACTTTCTGCACCCAGAATGCCTCGTGTCCATTCAGAAGCAGTTGCGTGTTAGCAGGGGTCAGCAACCAGTGAATAAGGCTTCAGCTATGCTAAGTTCTGTAGTGGGTTTTAAATGTGAATTTCTATTGGTAAATTTCTTGGTTCCTGAGTTAAATTCCTGGATCCCGCATCAAATCGTCAGCATGCCACTTATTCCAGGAAAGGGATTCTTTCCGGGTTCTCCTTCATCTCTAAGAATTACTTAATCTTTATTAGGGATCCCCTCTGAGTTTCAGTAATCCTTTGAAAATGGAGTAGAAATCTAACGTCTCAGTTTAAAGCTCCCCTCTGCAGTGCCCTGATGGTGAATATCCCTCTGAGAGTCTGGATCTGGAGCAATGTACAAACTGTTATTTTGTTGGGCCTATGTTACGTGCTCCCTATTTGAATCAGAAGGATGAGCTGACAAGCTGAACAATTTTCCTCTTATGATGATACTCCCAGTTTGCAGAGAGGGAGGACGGAGTGCTATTGGTATTCTTTGCCTGATCCAACCTGTAGCAAAATGTCACAAGTTTTGAGAGTCTCAGGTGAAGGATGAGCTGTGTGGTCTGCCTCTGAGGACCCCAGCTCTATCTGGAAGGGGTGTATTGGTATTTTCGGTTGAACCTGGGAGTTAAATTATCATATAAGATACAGATATTTTTTAAAAGTGCTGGTCTTGATTGCACATCTAGAACTTCAATGTCATTTTTAGATGGGTTCTAGAAAACTTAATTTGCTTGTTGGTAGGTGATCTTCTAGGTAGTTTGTCTGTGGGATTTAATCCAGGTCTTCCTTTGGCAGCTGTTCCCGGAAGACGGTGTAGCATAATGATCAAGAATACAAGCCCTGGAATGACGCAGACCTGGGTTTAATAATGTTGCTGGTTACTGGTATTGTGATCTTGGCCGAGTCATTCAACCTGGCTAAGCTTTGTTTCCTTTTCTTTACAGTGGGAGTAAAGCTATCTCATAAGGTTGTGTGAAGAATTCGGTGAGATAATGCATGTGAAGCACTTAATGCTTTGTCTGGCATATAGTAGAAGCTCAAAAATATTTTCAGAAATATTTGCATATTAAATATTGCATATTAAATATTTGCATTATTAAGGAGCATTATTATTCTATATGCTCCTTAATTGCCAAGCTGGTGGGTGGTCCAGAAGTAAAACTACTTTCAGTAAAAGTTTAAGAAAGACGTAATTAGCAATACAATGCACAGTTTTAGATTTCACATTGACCTTTGCAGTATGGGAGATAACTTTGGGGTTTTCTCCCTTTTGGATATGGGAGGTTGTTCTTTTTATGTGTAAGGGAATGGAGAAGTGATATGTGATGGGGTGATGGGGTGGAGCCATCTGCTTTCATCGGCTCATGCATGACCTTTGAGGCAGAGAAAGTAGGTAAAGAGTTTAAGTTTATTCCAAGTGCACTGGAAGCCAAGGAAAAGCTGTGAACTAAGGTATAGCTAAGTGCTCAGAGAAGGTAGAACGGCTAATCCTGGGGAGTCAGGGGTGGGAGAGAGTTCAGACGGGAGGTGATGGTTGAGCTATGCTCATCTGTGGGTAAGACAGAAAGGTGCCTCAGTCTATGTGATTCTAGATCCCCTGTCCTTAATCACAGTACCATCCCACCTCCATTGACAAGGCCCCCTCCCACAGCTCTGTTTTCACTGAAAACTGGGAAGTGAAATCTCTGCTGAGGGCAGAGTGGACATATGGCTGCAGCTGGAGAGTGCCAAAGGTTTGAGACGGCCACAGGAGGGGTAAGGAAAGGCACCAGCTCATGATAAATTAAAGCTTGTCCAAGCAGGACTAAGGACCCCATGGAAGCTGGATTTCCTGTATAGGTGATGCCATCTGGACAGTTGGACAAGGTCTTCTAGCAGCATGGGAGCAGAGGTGGATAAAACCAGTCACTTGGTGGATCCAAGAGTTGGCTAAGGCATGATTGTCTCAATTGGGGAGGACAGGAAACCAGAAGAGCCTGAAGAAAGGATAGGATTGGCAGTGTCTGTGAGATGGAAAAGCAGGCATAGTGATAATAAAGTAGTGGATCATGTAGATAGGAGGGGTATTGTGGTCAGAATTTCCAAGTGGAAGCTTTCAGGAGTTGTGATAATGTATTCATCTTTATTAGTCATTTTTCTTCTTTGTAACAAACCATCTCAGAAGGACAAGTGTTTATTTTCCTTTATCATGGGTCTATGGGTTGGCTGGGGTTCATCCGATTTCAGCTGAGTTGGCCTGGGTTGCTCTCTCGATTCAGAGCTTAGCCCAAAGGAGCAGCAGCTACTTGGGACATATTCTTCTCAGGGTGGGGTGCAAAAGCACTAGAGGCCAAGCCGAACAGCCAGGCACATTTAAGGCCTCTGCTCACATCATATCCATGAACTTTCCAGGAGAAGTCACATGACCAAGCCCCAGATCAGTCGAGTAGGGAAGTATGCACCATCCCAAGGAGGAGGGGTACAAATATCCCAACAGTACTCCGATTGCTCTGTGTGTAGGAGTTTGTTTAGGGGACAGGGCAGAGAAAGGGAAGAATATTTGCATATAGGAGAGTGCTAAAGCAAGTAGTAACAAGACAGGAGGGTAATAGTAGCTCAAAGGAGTCCTGTACATGTGCCTTTCCCAAGAAGACCTACTGGTTGAGTCTTGGGTTTGGCTTCAGTGTAAAAGTTGGCTGTATACAGAGTCTGGCTGGTTGGATAGTGATGGTGTCCATGTGGAGAATCAAGGCTTTCTTGAGGATAGCAAAACTGGCTCAGGGCGACTGGTCATCATCCCTAGGAAAGAGGGCAGAGAGCATCATTCTTTACCCATCCATTCAAAACATATTCCTTGAACGGATGCTCCTAGGTGCTGGACGGACAGTGATGGGCAAGAAGGACGTAGTTCCTGCAGTTCTGGAGCTTGCAATTTAGAGAGGAGAGACCAAAAAAAAAAAAAAATTGGAATGTGGTCAGTGCTATGAAACAAACAGAAAAATGGTCAGATCCCTATCTCATTCTGTGTTGGTTCAGTTACGCTTGTTCGGTTTCATTATGCTTGTTCTGAAAGCTCCTCTGCACACACTGTGTGTTATTTGATCAAGCCATAAGCATTTATGGAGCATTTCTTATGGGTCGGTCACTAGGGAGAACAATGAGCCCTCAGTGAGTTTCAATCCATCTATGGACACAGGGCTTGACCATAAGAAGACAACGATATGATGATATTAGGTTCTTATCACTGCCACCTCATACTGGCATTAAATACATGTGAGGGGAATTCAAAGGAAGAAATAATTCATTTCACTGTTTGCTGAATGCTTGCCTGGGGCTGGGCACTATGCTCCCTGCCTCTATTAAGAGGGAACCCAGCACTTGGTAGCCTGTTCCTGGCTGGGGCAGTGCAAGCATTTACCCAGTAGATGGCACCCAAGTGATCCTTTCAGGCTGTTGAATCCTGAAGGAGGGCTTCCTGCAGAGTCCCCACCTTCTGTAGAGCCCTGGCATTTTTACTAGAGTGCCATAGAGGACCCAGGAAGGATAAGTGACAAGCAAATGCCAGAGAGGATCAGACTAGTTTCTATTTAGTTATAGAGCATTACTGAGCAGATGTTATAACACCTTTGTTTATTCACTGTCCTTTACAATATTTCTTTTTTTTTTGACTATGTATTTATTCATGAGAGACACACACACACACACACACACACACACAGAGAGAGAGAGAGAGAGAGAGAGAGAGAGGCAGAGGGAGAAGCAGGCTTCCCACAGAGAACCCGATGTGGAACTCGATCCTTGATTCCATGAGCCGAAGGCAGACGCTCAACCGCTGAGCCACCCAGGAGTCCCTCCTTTACAATACTTCTGATAATTAGTATTAACTGAACTTTTGATAGTCTTAGAACCCATTATATGATTGATTCATTTATAACCATTGACATTTTATATTAACCAAGATAAGAGCAGAAGGGCCTGAGGTCATGGAGCCCAGGAGAGGATTTTATTCGTGTCCTCCTGCCCAGTAAAGATCGGTTTAGTAAGCTCGGAATATCCAGGCTATGGAAAGGAGCTGATTCTTTCTTCTTACTCCCAACCTTTTATTTTGAAAAATTTTATGTTTACAAAGACTTGAAAGAATAGTACATTTATATGCCTTTCACCCGGATCCACCAATCATCATTTTCTTACATCTGACTTTCTCTCTCTCTTACGGCACTATGAACTCATGAATTAAAAGGTTTTTCTACGTTTTGTAATGTTACCATTATTTTTCTTTCTGATGCTCAAATTGTCCCAGAATTAGCCAGTGAAGGCCCTTTAAGCCAGCTCCACAGCATCATTCTTTAGGTAATTCCTTTCTTTCCTTCTGCTTCCCACCCCCCCCAGCCCCAAATGTCTCAAGTTCACCTTGATTGTTTACGTCCAAGTCCTAGAACCAGCCATTTCTCTATGAATTCTGGTTCCTTTTGTGGGAATGGTTTTTAGGAATTATGATCTGGATGCTGGCTATGAGAAGCACTGATATTTAGAGTCAAAACCAAGGTTTCCTCCCAAAGCTTCATAAACTGGAAAGTTGGCTTCTTAAATGGAACCACTCCATTGAGCTTCAGAGTGGGCCTTATTCATCATGGCCTTTGGGCTGAGTGTTTCAGCACCAAATGAGATGAGCAATGAGAGGGTCTAAGAGCTACCCAAGATACCACACTTCTGGCTCACATTGTAATGACTCAGACTTTCA